TTTTTTTTTTTTTTTTTTTGTGCCTCTGCTTAGTCTACCAGTATTGCCTGGCTCAAGGGAGTAAAGTGCTCGTAAGCCAAAGGTGAAACTGGATCATTTTCTAACAACTGGAAAAGGTACTGAAATAGACCTTTCACTGAATTACCAAGCAATGGCCATTTCAAATTCYAGGGCTGCCTTTTGTGTGCCATGTATATGACTGCAGCAACATGAAGACAAGGAATTGAAATGGTGTAAATGCTGGGATAAATTATGTATGTTTTGAATGATTTTTTTTTTTTTTTGAAACATTTCTGTTTCTTAAAGATTTTTCCTTTTGGAGACTGCTTTATGTAGTCTGGTTTGTTCTCCTAAATTTGATCATAAGTGGACAATAGTTACAGCTGATGTCTAGGGACATCCATGATGGACATCCATTTTTTCAGGTATAAATGGTTAACTTGTTGTGAAATCCGATTTTTTTTCCCTAGATATTAAAAATTAAGATGAGGAGTCTTTATATCTGTTCTAAGACATTCTTTCATTTACGTTGGTTCAAAATACATATCTTGAAGTAACTTGTGATATAAATTTTTTATTTAAAAATTTCTCATGATACTGATATTACAATAAAGCACATCCTTATTTCATGGAGGAAAAATAAGCTAGCACTGAAAATATTCGTTAGGTTTTTTAATAGCATTTAAATATTTGTTTTGCAAAAACATGTAAGTACAATTGAAGTGTCATTTAGAATAGTTCACTTGTAAAGAAATATTTGTTTTTTATTTAACATATAAATACATTCTAAAAGTCAGTAGTAGGTTAGTAATGAAAAAAATGTCAGKTCAAAAGATCTTGATGTTATCCATTTTACTGGACTAAGGCACAATCGTGATTTTATAGCTAATAATTTATATACTTAAAATATTTTTTGAAGAGGCACGTGCTTAAACTCTTTGAGGTACTTTCCAGTTTAAGTGAGACTTTCTGGATTGAACAGAAGCTGTTAGTGTTTTTATATTAATAAATGCTTCTGTTCCAAGAATAACTTTTTCTGTAATACTTTTATTATTTTACGTTTTTATTAAACATAAACTACTGTCATACTTTCTCCACAGTGCATTTTCATCTCATTCTTCATCATCTGAAGTAGTGAAAGTTGCCCTAAACTTTTGAACTACTTTAAAGCTAAAGGAAAGCAAAAAACTGCAAAATCTAAAAAAATTATTCTGATCACCAGCAATAACTAAATGCATTTTTTCTTTCTTTACGTTAGCAGCTACCTGAATATTTAGCRCACTTTCTTAGTGTGCTTATAGGAAAGAAACAGCCTATTTTTAGAACTTAATTTGATGGTAGCTACATTGCTACATCATCGAAGATAGATTGTTGTTTGCTACAATTATGGACGTTAATCTTTTTAACATTTGAAAGGCCCTGCATTCGAGTCGATTAGAGAGTTGCTATTCCAGCCAGTGGAGTGGAATTACCTTAGATAGGCCTAGGCTTTTGTTTCYAATTTTTCTTTTTTGGTAGCTCTTAATATAAACAAAAACACCGTAGAGCCTTTTAAATAAAATCTGATCAACGCTATTTACTGCTTAAAAGTGAATGGTTTTACCAAAATACAATGAATTTGGTTTCTCTGAAAGCAGTTTCTCTGTGTATCATTCTTGGGTATATCTCATAATGGATCCCCTCTTTATGAGGGGATGGCTTCCATTTTTCTTAATGAATATATGTTCACTGTGTACTTACTATATATTAATATTCTATTTGAACAGATATTTAAAATGTAAAAATTTGCATATGATTATAGTAGTTTATTCCCAGGTTGTACTCTTTGATTGATGGGGACCACTAAAAGGTTTTCTGCATTGAAAATGCAGGGAAACACTGAAGTGTGTTGCTATCCACTAAGTAATTTTTTTAACTTGAGGGAAAGATACAAATATTTGATTTTTCTTTTGTATCTGGATAACAGAATAACATAATATATTGTACAAAATGAAATCCAAGGAACACATTCCTAGGGTGTAAGTACATAATTAATGGACTTGATACTTCGTTTTTAATGTATTTGATATATTTTTTAAAAACACTATTAATGGAATACTCTTCAAATAACATATGTCTGCCATAACATTAACACATGGTAATCAATGTTGAATCAAACTGGTTAACGAAAGTACAGTGCTCTTCTTTCTATGTGCCTACTCACTAATTGCAGGTGGTAATTGATAGTTCTGTATTGGAGGCGGGTGTCAGGCACAGCATGGCAGTACTCGCTGCAGTAGTAGCATCTTGGCGCCAGCGGCTCTGATGTCCATCTTTGACAACAGACTAACTGGGAGGAGTGCGACTCCCAAGGCAAAGTTTAACAGATTTGAAACTCTTAGAAGAATTATTAGAGGAAAAATAAACACACACATACACACACGCAAATATATATATCTATATATATCTCGTTTGACTTGTATTATGGCAGTTTGTGTGAAACGTTTAAGGTTTTGTTTGTGCAAAATAATGTATTCTGAGGGGGAAAAAAACATGGACATTGCCAAAACACATGTAAATAAAACACCAATTATGACTGTACGTTATGTGCAATAAAATAACTGGAAAAAGTGCATGTACTTTATCCTCAAAAAGCAATTGACAGCTCTCAGTGCTGCAGCTATAGTTTTATTTTCTGAAAAGTTAAATTTTATTCTGTATCTAAACAGCAGAATAAAGAATGTACATTTTTCACACCTCAACTTTCATTAATGCTTTTAGCACTGTTATGAAGGATTTTACTTGTTGAAGAGAGATAAATTTCCATAGTCTTTTGATTACCAGGGTGCTTGTTCATTTAGCATATGCCAAGTTGTCTGTAGTTAGAAATGGATAAATTATGCATTAGGTAATGTAAGATGTGATACATATTTTGTATTTTATAAACTTCATAGAGATGACCAAGTAATTACAACGATGTTAGAGTTCTATAAGCAGTACTGTTAGTATTGTAAGAGCAAAAATATAGTAGAGCTACCATACTGTATTTTTTCTACTTACTGTATACAATGAAGATAATTTTTTAGCTTAGCTAATGAGAGTCTAGTAAGACACTGACCTCAGAGAGGAAAGAGATTATTGTGTTTTAACATTTTAATAATGTATCATACACTTACACTTTAATATGTATGATAATAAGTTATCGTTATAGTTTAAGGAAGCTATAACTATCAGTTATAGTTTAAGGAAGTTTATATAGAAAAGTTATAATTTTACTTAAAAAAAAAATTAACTCCTTTAGTGAAAATTTGTGTGTTTCAAAAGTACGAATGCAGTAGATAAGATAGAAAGAGATATCTGTAGGAGCTTGAGAGAATATGAGGAGGGAGGTAATTCTGGGGTACATGTCTTACAATGTTCTAGGAAGAAAATAAGTCTGGTCTAATTATCATTTAAGGTTTTATTCTATGATGAATCTCTACAAAGTGGGCTGTACAGCTGTCTCTGAGCTCGCTTTAATCTTGCTAGTTCCTGTCAGTAAAAACGTGGAGCCGTTATTGGGTGCAGGCCCCCCGAGGAGGTCAAGCACCTCGGCATCCTTGTTACTGCCCTGGAACCAAAGCCAGGTAAGGCTGTGTGCTGCAGTCAAGCCAAGGTGAGAGGTGGGCACGTCCACACCAACTGCACTTCCATGGGCTATATAGAAAGTGTGCATTGTGCTGACCTGCTCCTGACTCAATTCTGACCCTCAGCAAACAACAATGACCATCTTCCTCTTCTCTTGCACCAGGAGTTATTCAAGAGATCATTGTATTTATTGTTGCACAAATTAAAGGTAGGTGTGGGAATTAATGGCTGGAACTTTTCTCTCTACAGACATTGCTACTGCTTATACCAGTGTTTTCTGAATAAGTGATGTTGGTATTTTTATATCTGATGGCCTAATTCACTAGATTTCTCCTGAATGCTTTTATTCCAGTCACAGTAAGGAGACYGTAAGTCACTGTCTAGGTAAGG